GGCTGTGGCCAACCGTTTCTTTTTTGTGGTGCTCTCTGACGCCATCTGCTGGATTCCTGTATTTGTCATTAAAATCCTTTCCCTCCTCCGGGTGGGAATACCAGGTTAGTCCTTTCTGTTACTCACGAGCACCTTGTGACTTCTTATGCCCTCTGACGGATGAGGCCAGAAGAAGGACCAGGAGCAGATACGCTACAGAATCTAGGGCAGTGCCTTGCACATGGTGAATTCCCCAGCTTAAATATAAAGAGATATTGTTTTCCCCAGTGTTTTACAACCAGTATTCTGAGATCGAAAGAGCCCTGGTGGCGCAGTGGTTAAGCGCTGCTAACAGAAAGGTCGGTGGTTCAAACCCACCAGCTGCTCTGTGGGAGAAAGATGTGGCAGTCTGCTTCTGCAAAGATTACAGCCTTGGAAACCCTATCGGGCAGTTCTGCTCTGTTCTGTAGGATCACTATGAGTTGGAACTGACGACAGCAATGAGGTTTTGGGTTTATTTTGAGATTAAAACTGGATACTGATGCCATCCAGCCAGAAATAATAAAAATCAGGAGCTAAAGACATACCAGATACTCAAGTTCCCTGGGTGGTACAAATGGTTAACGTGCTCATCTGATAAGTAAAAGCCTGGAGGTTGGGGCCCATCCAGAGGAGCCTCAAAAGAAAGGCCTGGTGATCTACTTTTGAAAAATCAGCCACTGACAACCCTATGGAGCACAGTTCTACTCTGACACACATGGGGTCGCCATGAGTCTGAGTGACTCTGTAGCAAGTGGTAGAAGAGAAACCAAGTGTCTTGTTTTTGCCTGAGCTAGACAGTGGTTCTTAACCAGGAGTACACATAAAAAATCAAAATATATGCGCCAAGGCTCCACCCAGACCTCTGGATTTAGAGCTCTTAAGAGCTAAGGTCTGGACACGGGCATTTGGTAAAAGCGCCCCCTGTGATTCTGAGACACGCACCCCCAACTAGGAATCACTGGTGTGTTTCATGGGCTTAGGCAAGCACTTTTGCCATTGGGCCCTGTGGAGTGCTAGCTGTCCAGCGGAAGTGCCTCATCCAAGAGGCCAGGCTGCAGGGCCACATCTCTACTCTAACCAGAGCCAGGGGCGGGTTACCCAATAAGCTAGGTACACACGGGCGTACCTGTGCTCACTTACTAATCTCTAGTGCACCATTTCTCCTGTTTTTCACCATGTGAAACCCACGTGAAATTGTGCGCTACAGATTAGTAAGTAAGCACAAGCAACCCACGCGTACCTCGCTTACTGGTTAGTCTGCCCCGACCAGAGCAAATCACTTTTCATTCTGTAGGATTTTACCTGAATCTCTTTCTGGAACCTGATATCTTAGGGGCCAGCAGGGACTTATCCCTAAAGATCACAGCCTAGAAAACTCTCTGGGGCAGTTCTACTGTGTCACATGGGTCACTGTGTGTCAGAGATCGACTCAACAGCACCCAACAACAACAACAACAGCGAAGAACTCAGAGTTTGGGATCATCTGCAACTCACAGTTTCAGCTTATGGCAAGTCTACTGGAGGAGTTCATCCAGGGCAAGAATTGTGTCTTACTCCTCTTGGTACTCCAGTGTCAAGCACGATGCCTGACATATCTGAAGCCCTCAGACGGGTCAGGAATGCACAAAGAACACCCAGCTGCTGCTCATCCTTCCAACCTATGTCCCCCGCAGCCGGCACAAGGTCATGAGAGGTCTTGTCAATTATGATGCCGCAGAACATACAACATCCACCCACTTCCCAGCTGGCACCGAGTCGATTCTGACTCAAGGGGCCCCACGTGTGTCAGCGTAGAACTGTGCTCCACAAGGTTCAACGCTGGTGTTTTGGAAGTAGATCACCAGGCCTTTCTTCCACGGTGCCTCTGGGGAGACTTGAACTTCCAACCTTTCATTTAGTAGCCCAGTCCATTAGCCATTTGCGCCATGCACGGCCTGCTACAGGACACCCACAGCGTCCTCTTCATCTGCGCTCCCAGTCTCCACAACCAGACACAGATGTCCTGGGGCCACTGGAGACTTGGAAGTGAAAATCAGGAGATGTATCAGGGCTGGATGCTGGGGAGTCTTCGCTGGGTGGTGAGAGCGGTGGTCATAGAGATATGTGTGCAGTCACTCCAGGAGAGAAGAGCAGACTTAACTAAGTGTTCATGGTCACGGACAAGTAACTTGAATGTCAGTCTCCAACCTACTACAGCTTTCTGGACATCTCAATTTTCACATCCTAAGTTTTCAAATTCAACCAAACTAAAGGTGGCACAGCGGTTAAGAGCTCAGGCAGCTAACCAAAAGGTCAGCAGTTCAAATCCACCAACCACTCCTTGGAAACCCTATGGGGCAGCTCTACTCAGTCCTATCGGGTCACTCTGAGTCACAATCGCCTCGACAGCAACAGGTCTGAGTTTTGGGGGGCGTTTAAAGTGTCCATTAAGGAGCCCTGGTGGTGCAACGGTTAAGAGCTCAGCTGCTAACCAAAAGGTCAGCTATTTGAACCCACCCAGAGGCTCTGTGGGAGAAAGACCTGGCAATCTGCTCTCGTAAAGGTTACAGCCTAGGAAGCCCTACTGGGCAATTCTTCTCTGTCACTTGGGGTCACTATAAGTCGGAGTCAACTCGATGCACCTACCAACCAAAAGGTCTGTTGGCCTCCATTGCTCATGGAATAAAGTCCAAATGCTGGGATTAGCATTAAAATATTTCTTATGTCCCACTCCACCCTCCTATATTCTGTGATCCAGGCATGACTGGGGTTTTTGCTGCACTCTTCTGTTTCCTGCCTTTACTGAAGCTGTTCCCTCTACCTGGATTAGACTTTCTATCTTTAAGACTCGAATGAGGCCAGGTGGTGCAATGGTTAAGTGCTCAGCTGATAAGCTAAAGGTCGTTCAAACCCACTCAGCAGCTCTTCCAAAGAAAAGACTTGGCAATCTGCTCCCATAAAGATTAAACCTAGGAAACCCTGTGGAGCAGTTCTGCTCTGTCACATGGGATCGCTATGAGTCCAGTTTTAAAGTTCTGTGATTCCATTAGCTCCTGGAGGCTCTTTCCCTCTGGTTTAGAAATAGCAGATGACGTGTGATCAGCAGTCCTGGCAGCAGCAAGAGGAAGCATCATCCTTAAGAGTCTGAGACATTCCAAATCACGGTCCGCTTAATAAATACCTTCCTCTAAGGGAACTAAGGAGCCCTAGTGGTGCAATGGGGAAGTGCTCCACTGCTATCCAAAAGGTTGGCGGTTCCAACCCACCAGCTGCTCTGCAGGGGAAAGACCTGGCAATCTGCTCCCCTAAAGATTACAGCCTAGGAAACCCTATCGGGCAGTTTTGCTCTATCACATGGGGTTGCCATGAGTCAGAATCGACTTGACGCCACTTAACAACAACAAGGGAACCAGAAGAGGAAAGTAAGTCTCGTTAAAACATTATTTGGTCACACACCAGTCTCTCCCTACATTCATAGTTCAATGTTTTGAGATTTGTCTTCAGCGCCTTCGTGGACCTAGAAAAGAAGCCTCGATCACCTTGGACAAAGCCCCTTCTTCTTCCTCTGACTGTTTAAAATTTTATTTAATTTGTTGTTGAGAATATACGCAGCAGAACGCACACCAATCCAACAATTTCTCACATACAGTTTAGTGACAGTGATGACATTCTTCAAGTTGTGCAGCCATTCTCACCCTCCTTTTCTGAGTTGTTCCTCCCCCATTGACACCAACTGGCTGCCCCCTGAGCTTCCTATGGAAGCTTCCGAGTTGCTGCTGTCCATTTGATCCCGAATCGATAGCTCTTTAAAAGAGCACAATGCTCAAGGCCGACGTTCTTTATCAGTTATTGTCTGGTTTTAAGAAGACTTCAGGGGATATTTTTGGTTTAAGGTTCACAGATTATCTCAGAGGGTAGGTTCAGGGGTTCATCCAGCCTCCATGGCTTCAGAAAGCCTGGAGTCCCTGAAAATTTGAAATTCTGTTCTGCATTGTCCCCCAACGAAGCCCCTTCTTACTTGCCCAACTTCCACGGTGCGGTAGGAAATGCTGTCTGTATCACTGTTCTATACCCACCCTGCTCCTGCCCTCCAGGAGCTCTGGGGTTCTACTCAGTCATGGCATGTCACTGATACTGCCAGCGTCAGCCCAAAAGATAAGTAACCCACCTCTTCCTCGCTCAGCTGCTAAGTCAGTTACTGAGCCACGCTGAGACGGAATGGGAAGCCACACCAGACTTGTATAGCATGCATGTGGCCCAACTGCCTTAAGAGCTCAGCTGCTAACCCAAAGGTCAGCCGTTCGAATCTACCAGCCGCTCCCTGGAAACCGTATGGGGCAGTTCTACTCTGTCCTATAGGGTCGCTATAAGTCACAACTGACTCGACAGCAACAGGTTTGCTTTTTTTGGTTAATCAAAATCAAGCACTCCCTGGCTGGCACAAACAGTTAAGCTACTAACCAAGAGGTTGGTGGTTTGAATCTACCCAGAGGTGCCTCAAAAGAAACGCTTGGCCATCTGCTTCTGAAAGTTCCCAGTCTTGAACGTTCTACGGAGCAAAGTTCTACTCTGCATGCACGGGGTCACTACGAGCCAGAATCGACTCAAGGGAAACTGGTATGGTTTGTTTGTTTTAATAAAAATTAGAGGAGAACAAGCATTGTTTTCCTATCAGATTGTGGTGGAGCCACTGGTTGCAATGTCCTTTGGGGTCACAACAGACGAAAAGCAACTTATTTGTTTTTCTTCAATCATTAACTGTTCTGATAATTTTCTGTTGTTGTTGTTTAATTTAGGACAAGTAACATAAAACTTTATTTAATAAATCAAAGATACACTAAGATACAGATTTCTTTTCTTCCATATTCTTTCTGGTTAAAAATAAAAGATAAGCCTTAGAAGAGAAGATGGGACAGAAAAAGAGGAAGTCAAATGCAGAACAAGAAACCAGTAACCACTTGCCATCCAGTCAACTCCAGCTCATGGCGACCCCATGTGTGTCAGAGTACAACTGAGCTCCCATGGGTTTTCAATGGCTGATTTTTTAGAAGTAGAGGGCCAGGCCTTTCTTCTGAGGTATCTGTAGGTGGACTTGAACCTCCAACCTCTCGGTCAACCACATCAACCATTTGTACCACCCAGGGGCTCCAGGAAGAGAAAAGGGAAAGATGAAAGGGAAGACGTGCAGTAGTGGAGGGAAAGGTCAGATAAGCTGTCAGAGAAGTAACAGAAAAGAAAGACCGCAAGGAGAGAGGGGAGAGACCCAGAGAAGAAGAAGAGAGAGGACGTGAAGAATGAAGCAGGGCTAGGAGAATTCTTCTGCGGCCTTCCTTATTCGTTCTCCAGCTTTCCCATGCATGCGAGGTGACTGAAAATAGCATGGCTTGGGTCAGGGGCACCTTAGTCGTCAAAGTGACATCTTTGCTTGTTAACACTTGAAAGGGGTCTTTTGTAGCAGATTTGCCCAATGGCTGTAATCTTTATGAACGCAGATGGCCAGGCCTTTCTTCCACAGTGCCTCTGAGTGGGTTCAAGCCGTCACCCTCTAGGTTGGTAGTCAAGCACAAACAGTTTGCACCACCAGAGCTGCCTTTCCGTGACCACTCTGTTAGTGTTTAAGGCTTCACCATTCAGCTGAGGTGTGTTCCTCGTTCTTCAAATCTTCAGACACCATTCGTAACAAAATAACAGGAACATTAGGGCCCAGGCAATATGGCTGTGAGGACCGGATGATGTCCAGGCCAAGGTCAGATCTGGCTCCTGGACCGTAAGTTTCCTGAACCTTCTGTTCCTGAAAATTCGGCTCTACCGATTAACAATTATTGCCTGCTTTTCTTATTTTTTCTATAAAGAAAGGCAATAAAACAAAGAAAAATACCTTACGTTATTTTTTAAAAAGTTGCATTCAAGTCCATTCCAACTCATGGTGACCGTGTGCATCTCATAGTAGAACTGTGCTCCATAAGGTTTTCAATGGCTGGTTTTTTTGGAGTAGATCACCAGGCCTTTCTTCCAAGGTGCCTCTGGGTGGACTCAAACCTTCAGACTTTCAGTTAGCAGTCAAGAGCATTAACTGTCTGGCCCACCCAGGGACTCCCTTACCTTATAAAGCAATCTGTACTTTACAAAGTGGCTTCATTCACGTAATTCCTCTGGTTTTATCTCACAATCACGCAGGAAGTGTTGTTGTTGGACGTCTTCGGGTCGACTCCAACTCAGAATGACGCCACGTGACAGAGTAAAACTGCTCCATCCAGGCTGTGATCTTTACAGTAGCAGATCACCAGGTCTTTCTCCTGCGGAGCTGCTGGGTGGGTTCAAACTGACAATCTTTCAGTTAGCTGCCGAGTGCTTAACTGTTGCACCACCCATTACTGGAGTTCAGAGAAGTTACGTGGTAGGGCCTTGTATTCAAGCCCCTGTGTTCTTCTAGCATAGAGATTTTCAACAAGGCGAGAGAAAATGTGATTGAATTAGGTCACCCTCTCGAAACAGCAGTGACCGCAACGTGCTGTGTGTATTTTGTGTCTGTTCAAAGCCTCAGCTTCTTTTTGTTTTTTCCCCACACTCATCTCCTTGTCCCGGCACAATCACTTCCCGGATTGTCATTTTCTTCCTTCCGGTAAACACTGCCTTGAACCCAATACTCTACACTTTCACCACCAACTTCTTCAAGGACAAGTTGAAACAGCTCCTGTGCAAACACCACAGGAAATCCACTTTCAAAATGAAAAAAAAGTCTATCAGCGTCCATCGTGTGGGCAGAAGACTTCCGTCACTTACACTTGGGGTGCTGAAAAGATAAACCCTGGGGACACTATAAAGAAGCCTCTTTCCTAGGAATGGTTTTGGATCCTGGGCTACCTTTCAATGGACGACCTAGGGCAAGGTACACCTTTCGGAAGGTGATACCTGCAGTGCTTTGCATCCTTCGCAACAGCAAGTCTTTCTCTGGAGAGCACAGCAGAACGACGCTGGCGCTGCAGGCCGATGGCGGCTGTGCTGTCACCTGTGCGAGACTGCACCTACGGGTCCTGCTCCTCACCCCTGCAAACCTGACCTGCACAGTGAGTCCATGTATCAAAGGCTGATAAGCAGTTGATCTCCAGCCACTCAGCACCAACAGTCCGCCAGCAAATGCCCACGTTTGCCACGGTTACACACAGCCTGCACGTGCACAGAGGTCACCGTCCATAAAATCAACAACATTCACAACAGCTAATTCCAGCGTGACCGTAATGACGTAAGCCTAGCGTTTCTTCCCGTGCTGTTTTAGTATCAAATAAAACCAGCAGCATCCCGCCAAGTTGATAGCCAAGGATTTCTGAGATGCTTCCCCACCCCAAGTCCTATCCTATGGAGTGGCAGCTTTGAAAGCAGGATTTCATGCTAGGTTTCCAATGTCTAACAGAGGACCAAGGAACCCTGGTGTTGCAGTGGTTAAAGTGCTCAGCTGCTAACCAAAAGGTCAGTGGTTTGAATCCACCAGCTCCCCCATGGGAGAAAGATGTGGCAGTCTGTTTCCACGAAGATGACAGCCTTGGAAACCCTCTGGGGCAGTTGTACTCTGTCCTCTAGGGTTGCTATGAGTGGCAATCGACTGGGAGACAATGGGTTTTTAACGTGTTAATGAAGGACCAGAGAGGCGCAGTGACCAGTCACCTTCTGGGCTTTGGTTTGACTTCGGAAGAGCTGAGGTCTTAAACGAGGAGTTCTTCTTAAGGTTGCTCAAGGCATAAATGGAAACTGAGCACCCTGACTGCCAACAAGTATTGCTGTGGGTGTCGTTGAGTTGACTTTGAACTCATAGTGACCCCATGGGACAGAGTACAGCTGCTCCATAGGGCTTCGAAGGCTGTAATCTTTATGGAAGCAGATTGCCAGTTCTTTCTCCCAGGAACTGCTGGCTGGGTTCCAATCACCTACCTTCCGGTTAGCAGCCGAGTGCTTAACCATTGCCCCACCAGTGCTCTTTGCCAAAATCTACCCTTTCATATTTTTTAAATACAACTTCTTTACAGCAGTATCTCTATGGCCGACAAGTTCTGCCATCACAGGATACACAGATAAGAGGTGTGAAGAGACATTCAGCAACAGTGGCTTGATTTGGGACCATGTGTTAGTCAGTATTGCTTTCAGCAAAAAGGCCTGTAAATGTGGATTTGTTTTTTGAAAATGAGAAACCATCATGAAAGGCTGAACATTTTTTATACTGAAAGTTTCTATGTAAAAAAAAGAATTGGGTAAATAAAATTACATTTTGCACTTGTTAAACTCTAAGTTCAACAAAGGCCATGAATAGAGTTTATTAACTGTCACGCATATTTCTCCTGATAAGGAGTATAACTAGGAAACAAGGCATTTCAGTTAACAAGGAATATCTTACCTTTTTCTTTCTCTTTCCCTTTTCCCAAAACATGAGGCAGTAACTTAATTTCTTCACTTCATTCTCAGTTCCTGTAATAAGACAAAATCTGTTTGAAGACACCAGATAACCTTCTACCCAGAAACCCACTGCTGTCGGGTCCATTCCGACTCATAGCCACCCTACAGGACAGAGCAGAGCTGCCCCAGAGGGTCTCCAAGGCTGTCATCTTTACAAAAGCAGAATGCCACGTCCTTCTCCCACAGAGTGGCTGGTAGATTCAAACTGCAGACCTTTAGGTTAACAGCCGAGTGCTTAACCACTGTGCCACCCAGGCTCCTAAAGAACCACCTAGTGCATATGAAACAGAATTTCCTTTTATCCAATACTGTTACAGAGGAGAACTGCCCCATAGGGTTTTCTTGGCTGTAATCTTTACGAGAATAGATCAGCAGGGCTTCTTCCCACAGAGCCACTGGGTGGGCTCGAACTGCCAACCTTTCAGTTAGCAGCCAAATGCTTAACCATTTGTGCCACCAGGGCTCCGATAATATCCAATAACAGCACGCAGGAAACAAAGAAACTCAGGGTACATGTGTTGTGGCTATTCTGGTGACCTACCCACTACTCCTTAACGTTGACTAAAACCGTACTATGAGGTCCTTCATGTTTATTGAATGGAGTATTACTTGCATCAATGAAATCCACAAGGATATTAGAAATGATGTTCCTACCCATTGGCTAAAAAATCAGCTGCTGTCAAGTCAACCCTGTGTGTGTCAGAGTAGAACTGTGCTCCATAAGGTTTTCAATGGCTGATTTTTCAGAAGTAGATCACCAGGCCTTTCTTCCAAGGTGCCTCTGGATGGACTCAAACCTCCAACCTTCTGGTCAGCAGCTGAGCTCATTAACCCTTTGCACCTACCCAGGCTGCCTACTGACTAGGCTACCCTTTTCCCTTATGGTTTCAGACTTTTCTCCATCTTGTCTCTTCAACAGGATTAGTTGCTTCTCAACTTGTTTTTTCTATACTCACTGACATTTTTCAAAACATCCTTTCTCAATGTCTGATCATCATGTGATTTGTTTCCTAATACATTTCCCAACATCAGGAGCATAAATAAGGGGGTACCCTGAGCCTTAGCATAAACGTGCGTGTCCATTTCCTGGAAAACGTCATGTATCTGAGAACTGTCGCCTCTGGATGTCTGCCCTCTGACTCGTGAGCCGTGGCCATGAGGGGAGGCACAAGGCATCGTCAGAGAAGATGGCAGTACATCTCCAGAAAAATGGACGCTACATATTGGTCAGCAGCTTGTCAACGAATAGGGTGAAGTGGAATCCTAATAGCTTAGTGATTCACGATCTTATTCTGTTGTTGTCGTTGGGTGCCGAGAGGTCAATTCTGACTCATAGCGACCACATGTGACAGGGTAGAACTGCCCCAGAGGGTTTTCTAGGCTGTGGAGCCCTGGTGGTGCAGTGGTTAACAGCTTGGCTGCCAACCAAAAGGTCAGCAGTTCAAATCCACCAGCTGCTCCTTGGAAACCCTATGGGGCAGTTCTGCTCTGTCCAGTCGGGTGGCTATGAGTCACAATTGACTCGACAGCAACAAGTTTGGTTTGGTTTGCTTTAGTGCTCCTTAGAAGAGAGGATATCAAAACTTCATCTCACATGCTTTGGAAATGTTATCAGGAGGGACCAGTCCCTGGAGAAGGACATCATGCTTGGTAAAGTGGAGGGTCATCGAAAAAGAGGAAGATCCTCAACAGGATGGACTGACACAGTCGCTGCAACAATGGGCTCAGACATAGCCAACGATTGTGAGGGTGGCGCAGAACAGGGCAGTGTTTCGTTCTGTTGTACACGGGGTCGCTATGAGTCGGAACCAACTCAGTGACACCTAACCAGCACCACAATCTTTACAGGAGCAGATCGCCAGGTCTTTCTCCCATGGAGCCTCCGGGTAGGTTCGAACTGCCAACCTTTCAGTTAACAGCCAAGCTCTTAGCCGTTGTGCCACCAGGGCCCCTATCCTATTCTGTACTGCTATGTAAATTTAAAACTATCAGAAAAGTAGTTTTGATTTTAGCGAATAATAGTCTTGCATCTGGATTCAGTAAGGCCTTTAGTATTAGGTCAGACTTTTTCTTAAACGTAGTTTTTCTGGGTATAAAAACACCACCTGTGTTTGTGAATCATTTTCCATGACAATATAAACATCAATTAAACATCACCCCAGAATTTAAGGGGTCTTGTTGTTGTGTGCCATTGGGTCAATTCCGACTCATAGCAACCCCATGTGACAGAGTAGAACTGCCCCATAGGGTTTCCTAGGCTGCAATCTTTATGGGAGCAGATCACCAGGTCCTTCTCCCACAGAGCAGCTGGGTGGGTTCAAATCGCCAGCCTTTTGGTTAGCAGCCAAGTGCTTAACCGTTATGCCACCAGGGCTCCTCTTAAGAGGACTTAGATTGTGCCTTCTCTTAGTAGGACAGGCTGCTGACAAATCACCTTCATCGTGTGTTTGTATACAGAGGACATCTTATCTTGAAAAGAAAACGCAAAGGTATCCTAAAACGTCACTGTGGAGTCTCTGATGAGTATGCAGCAACAGGCTGCGTGCTTTAACTGTGTTAGCCATCTCTAAACGTGTTCATTCTGGAGGATTCTTTCTTTTTGTATCAAAATAATTTATGCCCACTGTAGCTGCTGAAAATCAAGTCTTTTTTTAATTGTTGTAAAAATACAGATAACACAGCATGTGCCATTTCAACATTTTTCACATGTATAATTCAGTGTGGCCAATTACATCATAAAAACAGATTCTTGATGGCCAGGAGCTTTAAATGAATTAGACGTGTCTGAGCTGTTCTACAGCAGTGTCAGCATCACCTACCCCACCCCCATCTCTGCAGCTCCGGCCACCTGTCTCCACACAACCATCACCCCAATGCTTGTCTCCTAAGGATGATCCTGGAGACAGATCAAGTCGCTATGTATTTGGTAATTTCCTACATATCTACTGTCATGGATTGAATGGTGCACCCCAAGAGTATGTGTCAACTTGGCTGGCCCATGATTCCCAGTATTGCGTGCTTGTCCTCCGTTCTGTCATCTGATGTGATTTTTCTATGTGTTGTAAATCCTAGCGTCTATGCCTAAGGTTGGAGCCCTGGGGGCACAGTGGTTACGAGCTATGGCTTCTGACCAACAGGTCAGCAGTTCAAATCTACCAGCTGTTCCTTGGGAACCCTCTGGGGCAGTTCTACTCTGTCCTGTAGTGTGCTATAAATCGGGATCAACTCAATGGCAGTGAGTATGCTTGTGGTTACGCTCTCATTTGGGGGTGAGCTGCCTGTTATGTTAATGGTGCAGGATTAGGTCATGTTAATGAGGATTAGGGTGGGATGCAACACACTTACTCAGGTCACAGCCCTGATCTGATGAAAGGGGTGTTTCCCTGGGGTACGGC